CAGTGTTGTGGCCGTTGTGTTCACACAAACGCTTGTATTTGTGGACAATCTTGTGGCCGATCTGGAGGTCGAAGTCCATGAGACTCTGAAACATGTAATGCATTGAATTCCTCTTCTCCTTCAACTCGACCAGAAATCGGTAAATGATATCCAAATCAATGAAATAGTTCTCCAAATAGTAATAATTGCCATTCAATGACATGTGGTATAAGACATCAAACAAGACATTAGTCGGTAAACACTTCAGCGAATTCGACTCATAGACAATGAAATCGATTTTAGACACAATCGATACACACATGTCGTACAGTCTTCGGGTCGACATCTTCACCACCACTTCAGATGATTATCACAACAACACGATTGAAGACAATCACAATAACAACACTATTCACTGGGTATCTAGGTTACGATTATTATTAACAGTTATGATCACTGAATCTGATCCCAAGTGGTCCACGGATTGCTAATTATCTCATGACTCGTGACCAATCATCGGGTGAAATGAATGTAAGAATAGTTGGATTGAAAAGTCACTGAAAAGCCCAACTCATGGACTCATTGACGACAACAACAGCTGTTTTGTCCACAAATACAACCATTTAATGATCAGTGAATGTCTTCACAAAACACTCACTCATTGGCACCACTTTGTAGACACAATCAATAGATTGTAATATAATATACGATTCAAAGTGATCATTGAGTGACAAATGAATGTTAACGAAAATAATGACAATAATAATCAGTAATAATAGACAACATTATTGAGAAATGTTTTGCTATTGACTGCAAGTGTTCACTGAATACGGATGACGTGATTGGAGTACAGGTGTAGTGAATGCCATCATTACGGAAGGCATAGACTCAGCGACGGGTTAGCCCTCTATAGGTTGCGTAACACTGGACCTCAACTGTCAGTCACAGCGGCACTGGTGGTGGGGTCAGCCACTTGTGCACCGATAGGTATAATTAGTGGCAAAAAATATAATAATAACTCATTTAAATGAAAATGCGTGGCATATAGACAGTCATACGACTCACTCACTAATGGCTTATTTATTTATTTCTATGCTTTTCATACGATGTTTGGTTTAAATGCGAAAATATTTATCCACAAGACTTGTACTCAAAAAACTTTTTGTTTGCACTTTGATATCAATTCTCGTAGAAAAACATTGGCTATTATTGGAGTTTGAACTTCAGACAGTTTATTCACACTTTTGCTTTCAATGTTCAATACATTTTCATTGATGTATTCAAAATAAAAAGTAAAACTTTTTTCTAATCACTGATGAGAGAAATCACTGGAAAGTTGTGTTCAATGATTGCGAAACTTTGTGAACAATTTGTGGTTATATAGACAAATAAAATGAAGTTTTTCTTAAATAAATACAAACTTTTTTTACACAAAAATAAATAAATAAAACTCTTTGAACAAATAATAGGCTTTAATTAAAATTAATGTTTAAATTTATTAGATACAAGAATACAATTGAAACATTTATAAAGTATATTACTGTAATAATTACAGACATTTATTGGATTTACAATACACTACTATCAAACAAAACATACATTCATATAATTGACATACTTTTTTAATTGTAATTACGATAACATTTATTTCAATATTAGTGAACAGGTGTTCAAACGATACTCAATACAAGTTTATTCAACTTTTTTCGGTCGAAAAATATGCGAAAATTTTCTTATAATATCATTAAATGTATGTAAAAGTCATTTATTAGGAAAGGATCAGAATTTAAAGACACGTTTTCGGCATTCCTTTTGGGGGCAAAACATATCATATATTTTAGACTATATTTGAAAAATCAAAACTCCAAATATGATACAAACCATGGCTCTCATGGTGTCATTCTTGAGCTGTTGCTCCGATATCTGTTCGCCAACATTGCCGTCCTTTTTGTGTTTCGCCTCCAACTTCTTGGAGTAGCAGTTCCTGGTCTTCTGGTAGTACTGCTGATCGGAGCACCAGAGTCTTCGGCGGTCATTAACAGTGGATCCTTTGGGGGCGCTTTCAATCATACACTCGTTTTCCATTTGTTTGCCTTCTTTGGAGAACACTATGGCATCGCATTCATCCAGTTTTCGCAATACATCCGCATTTATGTCTTCATTCACTGTACGAGTGATAGATTGTCTCAAACTTACAGATTATGTCATTCAATAATGCATTCATTTTTAAACTAAACTTTAATCTAAATTTATTTAAATTATATTTTCATAGTTTTCATGTGAATCACGATTTGTGATATCATTTATGACTCCAACGAATACAATGAATAGTTTGACCGAAAATATTAGATTAACAAGAATTGAACCAATTTTTGAATTACAATACTTACCACAAAACGCGTCCATAAATCTTTCAAAATCTTGAACAAATTTTTGGTCTGCAGTGGGATTACCATTGATTTGAATCAATAGATTTGTGTTAACCATAAGTGAAACTAACACAACAATCAATGCATTCATTTCTATTACAAATTTAATTCATATGAATTGAACGCTTTATGAAATATTTTTATCGATTGATTGACTGAAAGCCAAATCCAATATTCAAATGATGAGAAACTCTGTGAAAATGCATTTTATCGATAAAACATAATTCATTAAAATAATTCACTAAACATGTGAATAATTGGATTCTTCCGCACTTTCTGTTCAAATATTAGACAATAAAGAGGACAATGAATGTGGAGGAAGGCCTGTCTATTAAAATTCCCCCTAATTTATCACTATTTTAGTTAATTTTTGAAGTAGTATTCAATTCCCACTCCCTGTCCATACAGTTAAATGACACAATTTTATGATTAATTAAAGTATAAAAGTTTTGACTGATAATTTAACCTCAAATTAATGCTTAAATTCAATTGAATAAAACACTGCTTTAATTAATTAACATATGATTTCCAATTTTTATAGTCATTAATGTAATATGTCATTAATTGATCTAAGTAAAATAACATTAATTTATAACAAAATAATTTTATAACGATTTTATGTAAGATTTATTAATAAATTACTTAATGATATAAAACATAAGTAGAATCATAGGAGAGCTGAAAATGAGTTCATTTTATAAGTTTATTAAATTTACATGTTATATAAGGCAATGAGATTTCAAATGGATGTTAGTCTAATTAAGCAATTTATAGACATAGTCTACAATATTTTGGAAAATTAAATAAATTAAATTAAAGTTCACACTAAATTCATACATGTACTGCACTGACAATTCAGTTTAGCTTAGAAATGTGTTTGTTTTAAGATTTGTAATTAAATATATTGTTATTAATACGAGTTTCAAAGCAATAAATGAGTGTTCAATGGATTAAACCATGAATTAGTGACCAGAAACGTGACAATTATGTGATATATGGTGTCAAGTGTTGACCTCTAGTATAGTCTCTTTACGGCGGACTCTCTCACAGACAGGCGATAAGCAGTGCTGTAGTCGTCGTGCGATTGAGTAGTGTTTGAGTGTTGAATGCATTCAATGCTATCAATCACTCACTGAATGCCTTTCACTGCAAACACAACACAAACAGTAATACAAAGACTTTTAAATCACACAAACGTTTGTGATTTAAATCGGTTTGTGTCCATCCATTGAGTCGATTATCGCACCATTGGATCAGTTTGTGGTGACGAATATGAAGAGACGAAGAGGAGTGCGCCAGAAGTCGGTCGGAGACGATAGTCTTCGCAGTGATTACAACCTGCGCTCCAATTCATGTAAACGCGTCAAACGCGACCTCAAGAGCGGTGACCACAGCCTCGCCAGCGGTGGTAACCAATTGATGAATAGTCAGAACTGCGAGGACTTGTCGCAGAGGAATGTGTCGACCATTAGTCAGACGTCTGTCACCCATAAGACCACGAAAATGCCGAACAAGTCATACAATTTGCGGCGAAGAGTCACTCGCAGCGGATCCAGAGGTGGCCGTCACGTGACTGAACCCCTGAGTTTGGTCACCATTGATGACTTGCCCGACGACTGTCTGCTCGACATCTTCGAGCGGTTGGACACCATTGAGGACAAGTGCGCACTGCAGAGGGGTTTGTATTCATTGGCGTCTTATCTATGGTATGACTAATGGTTTTGTTTATGTCTTGTATTCATTTGGGATCTAATAGTGAATAAGAGGTTCTACTCTCTGGTGAACCGCTTACTGGTCGCTCAGAAGTCATTCACCGTTGGATCCACTTTTGGCCCAAACAGTGAGTTCTCTATGACTTTGTTTATCATTGAAAACCAATTACTTATGTCTTCTGTTTGCCAACCAATCAGATGAACAAATGCTGACACAAAGGATTTGCCGGACAATTATCAGCAAATGTCCAAATCTGCAGACATTCAAAATGCCCGGATTCTACACCAAGACATCCATCAATTCATTCGATGGTTAGTATATGACATGAGATCCGTTATCATATGTATAACTCTTGTGTGGGTTTGTTATGATTAGAGCGGATCGGAGACAAAGAGATGTATGTCTTGGGAAAGAAGTGCAAAGATCTCAAAGAACTAGACATCTGCGGCTGCGGTAATGTCACCGAAAAGGGCATCAACTTTATTGCCGAAATCTGTCCAAAGTTGGAGAAGTTGTCCATTAGTTTCTGCCTTCAAGTGTCCGGCGCTTCGCTCCAGAAGTTGACAAAGAATTTCAGGACTCTTTCGATTAACACTAATGATATGACACCCGTATGTCAGCCCACAT